AATTTCAATAAATCAACATTTCACTATATATTGGCAATCAAAACTCAAAGCCTTTTAAAAAAATGACCAATCCAGACGGAATCAAAACCGATGTAGTCCCAAAGCGGCACAGAGCTGTAGCTGCCAAAGCGTCCATTAAAATTCGTGCGTTCCAAGGAAAATTACTGCTCCTTAGCTTCTATCCATTTGCAAAAGTTTGATTTTTTTAGGCATTCTTCACACCTGTTAGGTTAAAATCAGCTTTCTTTTTAAAAAAGAGAACGAAACACCGGAAGCGATATGAGAATAGAATCGGCTCTTCCAGAGGCATCTGCAAATGACACTCCATTTTTTTTCCTCGCGCTGCAAAATGTACCGGTAAACCGGACTTTCCGGGACTCGCTGGGTGGCCAACATTTTCCCTAGCAGGAATTTTACGTTTCCGAGAGCTGAATGGATGTTAACGTCAGGCTAGACGCCAGGCAGGTCTTCATTGTCAAATTAAACAGCAGTGGGAGCAAGCGGAATAGCAGAATTCCCCTCCCTCACCCGAACACCGGCAGCCAGCAGAGAACCGGGACCCCTCGCCCGCGGGAAGCCCCGATAGCCCGGCGAGCAGCGCCTAGGGCTTCCGCCTCCGGCTCCAGCTGGGCTCCTTTGGCCCGCCTCTGCGTCAGGGACGCGGAAACCCCGTAGGAGCAGGGCGGGAGGGGAGCGCGGCGTTTGAGTAACGCTGCAGCGATATTCTTCCGCCGCGAGGCAAAGAGTCCCAATCCAACCCTGGGCCCTAGGAGTTCCTGCGACCCTGTAATATCTAGAAATTACCACATTTGGATTTTCCTACCGACTTGCTTAGGATTTTATCCGAAGTAATGACCCCAGGATCACAATTTTGTGGCTGGCCTTAGCACGGTGAGAAAATTCCTCCGCGAGAAACGGGTTCCGGCCACGAGCCTATAAAAAACGGGTGGCGCGGTGGTGCTGTCTTTTCAGTCGGGCGCTGAGTGGGTTTATCGGATCATGTCTGGTGGCTCCGCGGATTATAACAGGTATGGCGCTCTGTTGGCGGTCGCGGTCTGTAGTGAAGGTCATAGGGCGCCAGGGGAGGTGATAGTGGATGGCACGGAGACAAGAAACTAAAAATTGGTGGACGCTTCCTTGGGGTACAGCACCCCTGTGCCCTTCCCGAAGCTTCCATGATGGGTAGGGCCCGGATTGTGGGGAGACAGGACGAGGGTTCGGAAACTGGCCAAAGGGCGTTTTTCCTCCCTAAGACATGACAATTTCAGCTGCTTCCTCTCCCAGTGTAGAGGACGGCAAACAAGCAGCAAAAAGCCATGGCGCAGTCGCGTTCGGTACAGTGTAACTGGGACCTGAACCTTTATTTTCGGTCAACCGTACGACTTGGGGGTCCTAGGCTTTCGTTGGCGGAGGGTTGGAGGCAGCGGTCTGCACTCGCCACCGCGCGGAGGCGACGGGACGGGACCTGCACTGGCGCCGGCGAACCGTTGGCTTCGCCTTCGCCGGGCCGCTCCGCCCGCGTCAATCACTCAGCTTGCGCATTGTTGGGGGCGGAGCTCAGCGCGCGGAGCTCTCGCGAGACGCTCCGCCGCCAAAACGGGAGCGCTCTGCGCTCGAGCCTTGGGGGCTGCTTTCCCAACCTTTAGAAAGGCGCACAGTGTGGTATTGGCCCTGCAGCGGCTTCTTTAGCTCGGGCACGGAAGGGTAACGTGCGGAGACGGGTTGCAAAGGGCTATCCCTTTAAGATGCAGTTAGGGAGGCTTGGAAGGGATGATGTCTGACTGCAGTGTTATTGTCAGCAGAGAACATGGCGGCCCAGAGGGAATGGACCCCGATGGTGTCATCGAGGTAAGAAACGGTTTTGGATCTTGAAGCTTTGAAAAGGTGAGTGTGTTCATCTCATTTATGCGTGCATTATTTTTTTCTAACTTACAGAGCAACTGGAATGAGATTGTTGATAACTTTGATGATATGAATTTAAAGGAGTCTCTTCTTCGGGGCATCTATGCTTACGGTTTTGAGAAGCCTTCCGCTATTCAGCAGAGAGCTATTATTCCCTGTATTAAAGGTAAAAGAAACTTCGGCATTTTTAGGAAATGAATTTTTGTTTTTACATAGATCTGAACTATGAAAGGGAAAGTAACCTCTGGGGGACTGGCACCTGTTTGTATTCCTTAAAGTGAAATGATGGCAATCATCTTTCGGGACTGACCTGAAATGAAGAGAATACTCATTGCTGATCACTTGATTATTTGGGCATAATTCATGTTCCAAATGGAATACATGGTGTGAAGTAGAAGTGACAATTTGATGTGGGATCGGTAAATGTGTATCCTACTTTTTTTAGGGTATGATGTGATTGCTCAAGCTCAGTCAGGTACTGGCAAGACAGCCACATTTGCTATTTCCATCCTGCAACAGTTGGAGATTGAGTTCAAGGAGACCCAAGCACTAGTATTGGCCCCCACCAGAGAACTGGCTCAACAGGTATTGATAGTGTAGTTCAAAAAAACTGCTTGCGTGTTGCATAGGTTTCAGGTTTCACAACTGTGAAGAATTTAAAACTTAGTATAAATTGGTCCTACCAGACCCCTCCATTTAATTGTCCATGCATGCAGGGAGTTTTTGTTGAAAGTTTTAAAAGAACTGGGTATGCAGGTATGGTTTGTAGGATTGTATACGAATAGATTGAGAATCTGAAGCTCTCTGGATGTACTAGATCTGTCCCAATTTTTTAAGTTTGAATGCAGTTGTGCAACATGAAAACTGCAGTGACATGTTACCATTTGACTGTCTCCGTAGTTTGTGATGCATCTGTTGCATGCTATGTTTTCAAAGCTCACTGCTATATTGGCTTTGAAGTAAACCTTCCTAATAAAGCTGTAGGCTTTATTGAGGTCAAGATTATGTAGGGCACAATACCCTCTGGGGAAGAAAAAAGTCAACATTTGCCCTAGCTGTAATTACAGAACATGTATTTCACTATGTATTCCTTCCTACACACAGTGAAGTATAATGTAGGAAATGTTATTCTTGAGTTGCCTAGCTGATGTGTAGGGTAACAGCATCCCAAGTCTGACAAGGCACAAGAAAGACTTAAGGGAATTTTACATTGAAGCAGTTAGGTCAGTCTGCATTTTAAGCTTGGAAGTAGATTTGTGCTGTGCATGCATAAAAGCTGTTGGCAGACCAGATTATATTTGCCATTATGCTTTAAAAATTAGTCTGATCCTGGAATTCTGCAGGATAATAATTAAGCCTTGGTTTTTAGATCCAAAAGGTAATTCTGGCACTTGGAGACTATATGGGAGCAACTTGCCATGCCTGCATTGGTGGAACAAATGTTCGAAATGAAATGCAAAAACTGCAGGCTGAAGCACCACATATTGTTGTTGGTACACCTGGGAGAGTGTTTGATATGTTAAACAGAAGATATCTTTGTAAGTATTTAAATGTATGATTTTTTTTTAACTGTTACATAGTTGAAAAGTCATACTATCACTGAGTAGATCTAGAAATGACATACGGATTTTTTCTTACAGCTCCAAAATGGATCAAAATGTTTGTTTTGGATGAAGCAGATGAAATGTTGAGTCGTGGGTTTAAGGATCAAATCTATGAGATTTTCCAAAAACTAAATACAAGTATTCAGGTAAGGATTATTTTACTCCTCTCAAAGGTAGAGATGTGGTTTAATGCAGGTACTGTTAAAACACATCTGACATGTTTCATTGTCGTTCCCCCATTTCTGTCTTAACTACATTCCATAGTAAGAAAGATGCTTGGTATCAAACGTTTTTCTTTGGGTATTACTGTGTAAGTTGTGCTTCAACATAATTGTCTCTTTTTAAGGTTGTGTTGCTTTCTGCCACAATGCCAACTGATGTGTTGGAAGTGACCAAAAAATTCATGAGAGATCCCATTCGAATTCTGGTGAAAAAGGAAGAATTGACCCTTGAAGGAATCAAACAGTTTTATATTAATGTTGAGAGAGAGGTAACTGTCTGATTGTTAGATGTTATTTTACCTTCTTGTATAAGCACTGTGCTAAAATTGCAGATACTAGGACTGTATCTTGGTTTTTGCAATAATGCTAGCAGAGTACACACAAGAAGAAAAGTAACAGCACTAGATTGTAAAGACTCGGGTGGACCTCTTTCTTAATGTCCAGTGTCCTTTGTCTTAAGATTTGGTGCAATAGCTCATTAGACCTACAGAATGAATTTAATTTCTAAAATTTCTGTATTACGAGACTGGCTAATTTTGCTATTTTTGGTGGAGACAGGGTTTCACTATCTTACCCAGGGTGGTCTGGAACTTCCTGGGCTCAAGTGATCCACCTACTTCCCAAACTGCTGGGAGTACAGGTATAAGCTACCATACCTGGGCCAGAGTGATTTTTTTTTTAAACATTGGGGATGGGGGCACCTGGATTTGAACTGGGGCCAGAATGAATTTTTAACTGAAAGTTGGAAACTAAATGGCTGTTAACTTTACTCTTCTAAATATAGGAATGGAAGTTGGATACACTTTGTGACTTGTATGAGACACTGACTATTACGCAGGCTGTTATTTTTCTCAATACAAGGCGCAAGGTGGACTGGCTGACTGAGAAAATGCATGCCAGAGACTTCACAGTTTCTGCTCTGGTAAGAGGTTTTCTAAATTAAAATGTCTAGATTTCCACTAAAGCAGGATTTAGACTACAATATAGCTGTTAAGTGCTGTGTTGTCGTTCCCCCTGCTCAAAATAACGTTGTTTCTTAACTATACCTGTCTGCTGTTCTCCTTGTAGCAGCCAGGGACGCTTGGTCTCATACATGTTAATTAGAATTAAATACTGACCTGACTGGTGATTCTTGAATTAAGGTTTATTAATTTGCAGCATGGTGACATGGACCAGAAGGAGAGAGATGTTATCATGAGGGAATTCCGATCGGGGTCAAGCCGTGTTCTGATAACTACTGACTTGTTGGTAAGTCTCAATGCTTCTGAAAAATCTACCAAAAGTTAACTTTTTTGGGGGAAGGTTTATTATTAAGTAACCTTTACCAGCTTGGGCTATTTGGAAGAATAAAAGGCCACACTCCACAGTGGGCTATACCACTTATTATAGTTCGCTACTATTTTGTGGCCTACATTACATAGGTGTCCAGTTTTTTGAATTGTAATTTTTAACATACGCCATTGTGTTTCAGGCTCGTGGGATTGATGTGCAACAAGTGTCTTTGGTTATAAATTATGATCTACCTACCAATCGTGAAAACTATATTCACAGGTGAGAAGCCAGCATCTTGGCTGTATTGAAAAAAATTTCATTTTTCTAATGCGATTTGTATGAAAGGGTAACGTCAAATCAAGGAATAGACTGAGTAAAGTCAATAGTGTTCAGTAAGATGTTGTAATTAAATTTGTACTAGGGAAGGCCGAAGAGAACAAAGTGGGAAAACTTGTAAACATTGCCCAGATTGTGGGTATAGGTTTTTTTTTTTTTTTTCCACAATTGTTGGTCTTAGCTTATGCTTGAGCTTTTAGTGATGTTCTTGTGTTCATGTGCTTTTTCTTGGTGATTTTTCTATAGTTGGGATTTTCGTGATGTCGCCTGATAGCAATTTGAGTGAACCCTGGTTTAGTTATAGTGGCTTTATCCCTAAATAAATTGAATTGTACTTTGTTATATGATGTAAAAAAAGACTTTTTAAAAAATACAGGAGTCGATAGCAGCAGTTGATGACGAGATGGCACTCAGAAACGGCGTTGACGTAATTTAGGACGTGGAATCATAAGCGAAACAGCACACTGTTTGAATAAAGAGCGAGTCGGTATTTATATTTGTTTTTCTTTTGTCATGATTATTTGATTAAGTTGTTCCAGCTAAGGCATTTTGTGTATTAGTACTTCTATTAGGGAACCTTTCTTATTAGGTGGTTTGTATTGTCTGGTTTCTAACATGGAAGGTAGCTGTTTTAGAGGTTAAACACGTTTTGAGTAATTTGAGTTACAACGTGTGAAACTGAGCAAAAAAGCAGTGATAAGTTTGGGTTACCATACCAAATAATTGTTTTCCCACTGGAAAAAAGTAAGTTTTAGAAAATAGTTAACCATTGCAGCATTTGTTTACAGTTTACAGTTCCAGAGGTGCGTCGAAATGGATTACATAACTGCTCTTTGTTTTATTCCTGGTGTTTACATCTGTCCCAGGCTGACACCTGCTCTTGGCTGGCCCACTTTGGTATGGGCTTTAATTTCACTACCCCAAACACAATACTTGTCATCTGCTTTGTAATAATGCTCAAGATGCCTGATAAAATCTCATTTTGCAGCCAGACAAGCCTTGAATCCTTTTGGCACTAACTGCAAAGGAAGATTTTTTTCTCTAGATATTAGCAGCTAGTGCTCCAGTTAGAAGCACGAACTGTAACCTTGATAAGTAAACAGCAGCTGATGGTTAACAAGTGGATCCTCATGTTCAGTAGTTTATAAATCACATGAGAAGTAACATTCTGACTACGGTTTTTTTTTTTCTTACACAGAATTGGCAGAGGGGGTCGATTTGGGAGGAAAGGTGTGGCTATAAACTTTGTTACCGAAGAAGACAAGAGGATTCTTCGTGACATTGAGACTTTCTACAATACTACAGTGGAGGAGATGCCCATGAATGTGGCTGATCTTATTTAATTCCTGGGATGAGAGTTTTGGATGCAGTGCTCGCTGTTGCTGAATAGGCGATCACAACGTGCATTGTGCTTCTTTCTTTGGGAATATTTGAATCTTGTCTCAATGCTCATAACGGATCAGAAATACAGATTTTGATAGCAAAGCGACATTAGTCGTGAGCTCTTGTGAGGAAAGTCATTGGCTTTATCCTCTTTAGAGTTAGACTGTTGGGGTGGGTATAAAAGATGGGGTCTGTAAAATCTTTCTTTCTTAGAAATTTATTTCCTAGTTCTGTAGAAATGGTTGTATTAGATGTTCTCTATCATTTAATAATATACTTGTGGACTAAAAGATATAAGTGCTGTATAAAATCAGCCAATTATGTTAAACTAGCATATCTGCCTTTATTGTGTTTGTCATTAGCCTGAGTAGTAGAAAGGCCTTTAAAATTTTTTTAGAAAGCATTTGACTGCATTTTGTTTGGTATTGTATTTATTCAATAAAGTATTTAATTAGTGCTAAGTGTGAACTGGACCCTGTTGCTAAACCCCAGCAAGCAATCATCCTAGGTAGGGTTTAATCCCCAGTAAAATTGCCATATTGCACATGTCTTAATGAAGTTTGAATGTTAAATAAATTGTATATTCACTTTAAAGGTGCTTTTGGTCATTTTATTTTTACATCCCCCATTATTTGCAAAAAAAAAAAAAAAATCCAGTATCTTATTCACTAACAGTTCTGAGATAACTGCTGCATCACAGTTGCACAAAGGCTGATCAGTTGTAAATGTTCATCAGCACCATCCGCTAGGCATTTGTCAACTTCCTGCAAGAGAAACTCAAATTAGCATCCTTCAGGTACAAATGTTTCATTGACATGTGCAAAGTACCTACTTACAGCAAGTCTTTCTGTAATAATGGACTTCTGTTTATCAGATAAGTCATTTTCTACAACCACATCGTGGAGTTGATTGACGAGCTGAGTTGCTGCATGACCCTCATCTATTAAGTCCTATAATTTAAAAAAATTTCTTTGGTACGATAACTTAATACTCCTTTCCCAAAGGTTAGTAAGCTGATTTTACCTTGACCACAGCTTCTAGTTTGTCGAAAGAGCCGCTCTGACAGGCAGCAAATACTCCATCGATTTTCTCAGCTGGTATTACCTAGGTAATGGAACGTTGGGTAAGACTAGACAGACTGCTAATTTGCCTCCCTGCCGCCAGTCCCATCTTCCACACTTGGAATACCTAGCTAATGTCTTGATCATGGTGCAAAGTTGGGAAGGCACTGGGAGAATGAGAAGGGAGGGCTAGAGTAACTCCAGTTATTAAGCAACCAAGGTGATAACAGCTAGCTGTGCTAAAGCCCTTTCATGGCTGCTTTGTGAAGTATATGAAACAATCTCCCAGGTTTGGGCACAAGTGGATTATTACAGCTTCTGGTCAGTGGATGAACATTAAGGTTTCCCCCAGTGACTATAATAATTCCTCAGAACAGTGACCAAGATAGCCAAAGAGACTGATTTCTCTTTCCCTGAGAACGGTGAAGTGCCCTTTCTAAAATTTTTGCCAAGTAAAAATGTCACTAATGATATTGGTTTAAAAAGTCTACAATATCCAAAAATTAAAGAGGATTACCATTAATCTTAAATTTGTAAGTAGTAGTGATTCTGAGATGAGTTTTGACATGGGTATCCAAAGACGGATGGAGTGTTCCATTTTCTTTAATGTTACTGTAAGTTGGATACACCTTTTGTTTATATACAACTGGCAAAATAGTTTTCATGTATAAGAACAGGACATCTGCTAAAACTGATTTAACTGCCAAAGAAAAGCATCTCATAAAATCTAAAAACTGAAGGCCAGGCGCGGTGGCTCCCACCTGCAATCCCAGCACTTTGGGAGGCCAAGCTGGAAGGGGGCGGACACACAGATCACCTGAGGTCAGAAGTTCAAGACCAACCTGGTCAACATGGTGAAATGCCATCTCTACTAAAAATACAAAAATTAGCCAGATGTGGTGGCAGGTACCTGTAATCCCAGCTACTAGAGAGGCTGAGGCAGGAGAATCGCTTAAACCCAAGAGGTGAAGGTTGCAGTGAGCTGGTATTGTGTCACTGCACTCAAGTCTGAGCGATAGAGCAAAACTCCATCTCAAATAAATAAATAAATAAAATAGAGGAACTGAAAGTGTCCTTTTGTCTATTACATGCCTGACAATCTGAAAAGTCAGTGCTATCTCCTCACCTGAAAACACTCTGATACTCCCAGGCTGTTCCCTTATACTTCCTAGTGCAGTACTTGGCACATGCTAAACATTCAGTATTAGCTGGATGAAAATTTCCTAAAAGTCACAAAAAAAGCCAACTAAAAAGAAGTTCAGAATATCCAGTACTCTTACCCCAGCAATGTCTGTAATCACTTTCTCTGTGATCTCCTTTCCACCTGTTAATCGAGTAGCACTTTGAAGAAACGTAATGGCTTTTCTTAAGTCTCCTTCTGACACCTTAACAAGATAAGCTATTCCCTGAAGAGAAAAGAGTTGTTCTTAACCTATGAAGGTCAATTAAGGATTTATGACTTTAATTTAAAAATGTTTTAATAGGGGCTGGGTGCCATGGCTCACGCCTGTAATCCCAGCACTTTGAAAGGCCGAGGCAGGAGGATCATGAGGTCAGGAGCTCCAGACCATCCTGGCTAACGCGGTGAAACTCCGTCTCTACTAAAAATACAAAAGATTAGCCCGGCGTGGTGGCACACGCCTGTAGTCCCAGCTACTCGGGAGGCTGAAGCAGGAGAATCGCTTGAACCCAGGAGGTGGAGGATGCAGTGAGCCGAGATCGCGCCACTGCACTCCAGCCCGGGTGACAGAGCGAGACTCTGTCTCAAAAAATAAAATGTTTAATAAAAGTGAAAACTCAATGTTTTAGTCTAGAGTTAATGAGAAAAAAACATTTCTGTTTTGGGAGGGAACATGATCAGTCCTACAGGGGCAGAAGTTATGGAGACAACATCAGCACAATGGAAAAGTAGAGATCTCTTGCTTCTGAAAGAAATTTGCAGAGATGAAAAAATGTTCCATATTCATCCCATTTTCTTGCTCACATAAAGCAAATTCAAATTATGGTTAAATTCTGTTATAATGAATAAGGGCCTTATGCTTCTATCAATTTTAGGGAAGTACTGAAGTATTAGCTAGAAGACTAAAATCTGGTCATCACGCAGAGATTTATGTTGCAGAATTTGCATTATATGTATGAAATCCACCTCAGTTGTGGGTCTCTGAAATATTAACAGAGAATTAACTCAAAAAGTAATAGAAAGGCTAAACCTTGTAATTCCTAGACATTTCAACTGTTGCTCCTTTAGCTTAAGTTTGTCTGAAGAACTGGCATCAGGACTGAGGCAACACATTTAACTCAGGTCCTCTTTATATGCATTAATGGAAGGAATTAGGAACCCTAATAATTGTAATAATTAGTAA